AGAAGGAAAGCTCCACACGTCCTTTAATCCAACATAGACTTCTAAATATTTCCGGCAAGAAAGGAAGTGACAGGAAATATTATCTACATTTACAAAGAACTGACAACTAAGGGATTAAATTGGCAATGCCAAACCCGGAGAAATTGGAAAGATCAAGTCAGTCAATTTTGTGGAAAATTCATTCAAATCAAGCAGGCTTTAAGCTTGACCAACTCGTTATACATCGAAAAAGATCTATGCAGAAACGATGTAAGTCAGCTGAAAAAATATCTATCGGAATCGTATTTTAAATTCTTTTAAATTCTGAGTTCGATAAAGTTAGCTGCTCCCCGCTGTTGTTTAACATTCATCTCCACTTTTTTCTTCGCTTAGCTGGAGCTGTCTTGGCATACGTACAACCTACAGAATCTTAAAAAAGTCACGCATTTTATTGATATCCAAGTGACTACCTAGACAGCCAAAAGTGTTAAAAGATTTCGCTACATCTAATACTCGCAGAACTCTTCAGGACGTTGCAGACCGCAAATGCTTTGTCGACTCAGCCTCGCTACTTCCACCTTGAGCGCTATGTCTCGCGTCTGTTCAAAGAGCGATCTGTAGCAGCGACTCATACCGTGGTTCTATCAGAGTTTCATTTTTCGGTACTAGCTTTTTAAATGGTGCAGAAAGGATACATGAATTATCCTTTTTCAGCATAAGTTGTAAAAAATGGTACATAAGCATCAGATGACGCGATTTCTTTTGAAACGCAGCCATAGTCGCACTTACCAGAGTGTTGACATAATTTTCCGTTGCAAGATTATCCCGTTATGTCAAGCTGGAGACTTTTAGCATATGTTCTTTGTCACTGTGATCGCACAACAGCTGCAAATATTCGCAGCGGAATACCACCGACGTTTTCGTGGCTGAGACCCAAAACGGTCTGTGGAGTGCATAGACGAAATTGCTTGTCCAGCAGGCACATATATAATGGTACAATTTAAACGCCATAATGTCTGAAACTACTCCTAACAGACGGAACGCACACATGATAATTGTTTGCGTTCACAGTTATCTTATTGGATTGACATTTAATTTACCATAGCATCTTTCACTTATTTTAAAAAATAGGAGTCTAATTTTATCTTAACTAAGCAATAAATTTTCAACCATAAGCAAATTATCACCCCCCCCCATTTTGAAAACAGTTCTTGATGCTTCCCCAGAAATGGGTACAAGAAACAATGCGAAGCATACCTAATTGTATCTTTAATTATATATATCTACTGTAGCTCCATATGGTCTAAACGATAATTCACGTGAAACCATGGGACTGCCTGGTCAACCGTGCAGCTTTTGAAGATGTTTCTCAGATATTTTTGGCGGGCTAAAACAGCGGACCCGCGAAAATATTTTCGCGGAACCGCTGGCTGTGAAAAGCTGCTGACTGCTCACGAGTCGAC